AGAAAGCGAGAAATCACCCCCCAGGGGGGATGGTCACGCCGCAATCCCTTCTCCTCCTTTCTCCTCTCGGGATCTTGGGCACGCACGCACACGTGCCCGGCGTGAGTTTTAAGCCACCGGGTCCGGGACACGAACCGCAGTCGACTACGTGGGAGTCCAGCGACATAGCCATTACGCTAACTGCTGGTTCCCAATACACTGTATCATTTTTGACAAAGGAAAACGCATCATAAAATTATTATATTTTGGAATATTTGCTTTTTAAAAATATAGAGCCTTTTCTAGATTTTTCTTGTCCCTGTTTTTTTCTGTGATTATGAATTTTTTTTAAGAATTGTTTTACTTAACTTTATTTATTATTATTATTTTCCAGTTTGATCAGAGAGAGGGGGGAAGTGAGAAAGCAGACCACCAGGTCCAGGACTCGAACCATGATCAGCTTGTGGGAGTCCAGTGCCCTTAATCACCATGCCACCTGCCAGCCCCTATTATGGAAATGTTAAAGCTGTCCAGCAGTATAAAGAATAGATTAGGGCCAGCCAGGTGGAATGGCAGCTAAAGCGACTAGATCCCACATGGCCAAGCGCACGGACCTGGAGGCTTGGACAATATTCCAGTCACATGTGCATGCATGCCCAAAATCCCAAGAGGAGAAAGGAGGAGAAGGGATTGCAGCATTTTTAGAGAGAGTTTTGCTATAGGGCATTGGCACTCACAAGAGAGACAGAGAAAAAGTGAGAAATCACCCCCCATGGGGGATGGCAATGCAGCAATCCCTTCTCCTCCCATGTCCTCGGGATTTTGGGCATACTACACATGTACCCTACATGAATTTTAAGCTGCCAATCTGGGACTTTAATTGCAGTTGACAACGTGAGAGTCCAGGGACATAACCCTTACACCATCTGCTGGTCCTTTCCCTCTCTTTCTGTCTCTCTAGTGAGTGCACACACCTTATAGCAAAAATATAAACACACACACACACACACACACACACACACACACACACACACACACACACACACACACACACACACACACACACACACACACACTACAAAAAAAGAACAGTGTAATGAGACACCAAGTGTGCTATTCACCTTAGATTCTATAAAATCATGGCCCACTGTGTTTATTTTTCAGTTTTTCTTTATTCCTTTCTATTCTTTCCTGTTCTATAGTAAAGTATGTTTTATCAAATATCTTCCTGGTTCTGCTAAACATCAACACATCATCTAAAAATGATAGGAAACACAAGATTGTTCTACTTATTTGCTCTTATATATCCAGAAGTGATAACACCCCAATTTTTATTAAGCTGATTAATATGAAATTCCAGTTTTTATAAGTCAAAAATTATTGCATATCATCCACTTTATATGGTTCAATCCTGCAGTCAAAAAACTTACCATATGGAAGTGTGTATGATACCTAGGGATAAACCTAAGGAAGTCAAAGACGTTTACAAAGAAAACTATGAAAATCTAAAAAAAAGATCCTGAAAAGGACACAAAGTGGAAGGACATCCCATGTTCCTGGATTGGAAGAATTAATATAATCAAAATCGCCAAATTAATCTACATATTTAATGCAGTTCCAATCAAAATACCAGGGACATTCCTCCTAGGCCTAAAAAAGACAGTCATAGAATTAGTCTGGAATCATAAAAGATCTCGTATTGCCAAAGCAATTCTGTGCAAGAAGAGTAGAGTGGTGGCATCTCATTCCCTGCCCTCCAAATATACTTACAAAACTGTTATAATCAAAACAGCATGGTATTGGCACAAAAACAGACAGTTGGGCCAATGAAATCAAAACAGAGACCCCAGAAACAAACTGATTTTTGACAAAGAATACCAGTCAATCCACTGGAAAAAGGAAAACCTCTTTAGCAAATGGTGCTGGAAAAACGGGGTATCTACCTGAAGAAAGATGAAGCTGAATCCCCATCTTTCACCATTAACAAAAATCAACTCAAAATGGATCAAAGATCTGAACCTAAGACCTCAAACTCTAAAACTACTGATGAAAAATACTGGGGAAACTCTGGGAGACAGTGGGATAGACAAGGACTTCTTAAGACTCTCAAGCACTGGCAGTAATCCTTAAAATAGAAAAGTGGGACTAGATCAGATTAAGAAGTTTCCGGCATGTTTCCAAGGGCTGTGGCTGCTGGTGGCCACGGTTTCTCCAACTGCATGCGAGAGCAACGTGGAGGGACTTTGACAGCCCAGGTCACACCGTACCTGCAGCTGCTACGCACCTTTCCTATAAACCCCGCGGCCTTGCCAGGGACCCTGCAGCCCAGGCTGGGAGCGCTCATGCCGGTCTTCGGGGGCTTCCATTGTGCAGGTGCAGCTCTAGGCAGGCTGGGACCAAGGCCTGTGTTCCTGGGAGCCAGCTCTGCAGAGCTGGGAGACACAGGGCAGCACAAGAAAAAGCAGAATTCCTGGTGGCAACAGCTAATGTAGCTCTGAGTGGCCAATAACAGAGACTGGCAGTGCCCGTGTTGTCTGAGTGCTGAGTACCTCATCCATCAATCCACGGGCCCATGCTGGGGCAGCCATTAGAGTACCAGGAGACAGGACAGGGACCTGTTGTGTCCGTGCCCCAGTGGGCTCCTCCTCGACCAGCCTCCTCATAGCCCTCCCCTCCCCCGCCTCAGAAATGTAGGGGGGCAGGCAGGTTGTGGAACCTCCCACCCCCATCCCTGCTGCCTCTGCCCAGTGGGAAGGCACCCTGGGGAGGACACTCCAGGAGTGGAGAACAGCTGGGGGAGAGTCACGCATCTGCACCATGCTCACAGTTGTCCCCTGGTCTCCAACCAGGCAGTGCTGTAGACATTCTCAGGAACGGCCATTATTAAAATCTTTCAAATCATTTAAAAAAAAAAAAAAGTTTCTCTATGGCAAAGGACACAATAATTAGTGTGAATTGATAGCTCTCAGAATGGAAAATATTTTTGCAAAATATGCCTCAGATAAGGGACTGATAACCAGAATACACAAGGAACTCAAGCAGCTTACCCGAAAAAAATTTTAACCCAATTAAAAGATGGAGGACCAGTAATTGGTGTAATGGCTATGTCACTGGACTCCCATGTAGTCAACCGTGGTTCAAGTCCCAGACCCAGTGGCTTAAACTCAACACTGGGCACGTATGCATGCATGCATGCTCAAGATCCCAAGAGGAGAATGGAAGAAAAGCGACTGTGGCATGGCCATCCCCCCTGGGAGGGGGTGATTTCTTGCTTTCTGTCTCTCTGTCATGCCCCCTATAACAAAAACCTCTCAAAAAAAGGGAAAATGAGCTGAACAAAAATCTCTCTAAGGAAGACATATGAACAGCCAAAAAGCATATGAGAAATTGCTGAGTATCCTTCACCATAATGGAGATGCAAATTAAAACCACTATGAGATACCACCTAACCCCTGTCAGTCTGGTGAAGATTAAAAATATTAAAAGTGGGGGCTGGACTCCCACATGGCCAACCACGGTTCAAGTCCCAGACCTTGCAGCTTGCTTTTTCACTTTCTCTCTTTCGCTCTCACTCTGTCCCTCTCTGGTCAAATTAAGTAGACAAATAAATCAAGTTAAATAAAACAATTCTTTAAAAAAAAAAATACGAAAAGTGGTAAGTGTTGGCAGGGATGTGGCGAAAGGAGAATTCTCCTACACTGTTGGTGGAAATGTAAACTGGTTCAGCCACTGTGGACAACAATATGGAGATTCTTCAAGATCTACAAATAGAACTACCATTTGATCCAGCAATCCCACTTCTTGGTATCTACCCAAAAGACGAGAGAATGCTCAGTCAAAAAAGCCCTTGCACATCAATGTTTATTGTGGCATTATTCACAATTTCTAAGACATAGAACCAACCCAAATGTCCATAAACAGATGATTGTATTGAAAAAGTGTGGCACATACACTATAGAATACTACAATACATTATAAAATCCTTTTCAGCCATTAAAAAAAAAAAAAAAAGACTGGCATTTGATAGAAAGTGGTCAAATACAGAAGATTTATTGCTGAGTGAAGCTAGCCAGGCTATGAAAGAAAGATATTGTATATATCCACTTAATATACACCGACTCTGAACTCTATGGTAGAGATAGTTATGGACGCTAAAGAAGGTGGGGCAGGGCAGAGGGGAGTATAAAGAAGGATAGCACAAGAACAAATAGAGAGGCATGACATTTGTGGGACACAGAAATGGTTTATTGCCTGTTGATGGTAACATGTATAGTATTTTCTACTGGACCGGTCTGAGAAGTATTTTCATGTTAGGTAAATTCTCTTTATAAGCCAAATGATGTATAGTAATCGAATGTTTAAAAAGTAATAATTAAAAAAAGGTAGATGAGTATGGAAGATTTACTGCTGAGTGAAGCAAGCTAGGCTATGAAAGAGAAACATTGTATGTCTCCACTTATTATATACTGACTGTCCTCACTCTGTTGCAAACTGAAAGAATAGAGGATATAGAAATATGGAAATGGTTATGGATTCTGGAGACAGTGTGGGAAGAGGGTGGAAAATGGGGGAGAGTGAGAGGAAAGGAATCAAGGAGAAAAATGGAGGCAAAACACTTAAGGGACATGGAAATGGAGGATTGTCTGTTGATCTTCAACTGGACTACTGTGAAGTGTACTCATTGGGTAAATTCATTTTACAAGCTATAGTGATGTACAGTAATTGTATAAAATAAAGTAATACAAAATTAATAAATTTTCAAAAACATTGAGAGAAAAAAAAACTTACTATATGGAAGAGTAGTTTTCAGCTTTTTGGGGTATACATTAGAATAACCCTAGGAATTTTTTTTAAATACCCAAGCCCCACTGTCTGTCAAATCTTGAGTTTTCTAAATTTGGAGCCCTAGCACATATATACTCCAAAAATTCCCAAAGTGGTTCTAGTATGGTTAAGAACTGCTGTCTAAAGTCCCCCTCGGTTTAAGTCCGCCCCTTGTCTTTGCAGTAGGCCGCGAAGTCATGAAAGGCCTTACTCGCCACTGGACAGGCAGGTGTGTGCACGTGAGAGTGCCTCACACTGAGAGCGTGTCCTCAAATACTGGGTGAATTTGGATCTGAAGTTTGTCCGAGTTAGCTCGAGTCACAGAATGAACGTGGCTTGGTTTCTCAACTTGAAGAAAAGATACCTGTTCTACTGGCTTCCCTCTTCCAGTTCATTCTGCCTTAAGATCATCATCCCCCTCTCCTTTCAGGCAGTTAACTAAACACCATCGCTAATGTCCCGATCATTTATTCTGAGCTTTTTAAGTAAAAAGATGAACCCTAAGGTACTTGTATGAGTGCCTCTTCAATTTCTTACTCTAACTTCTTGTATTTCTGCGGTAGCACATGGTCATTCAGACTCAGCCTTCTTTTATTTGACTAGACTGAGAGATGCATATATACAGAGAAAGAGGGATTATGACCTCATATTAACTGTTTTGTTTTGTTTTGTTTTGTTTTTTAGCTATCCAAGAGAATCTAACAAGTTAATAGACCTTCCAGAGGATTATAGCAGCCTCATTAATCAAGCATCCAACTTCTCGTAAGTTTTATTATTAGATTATCGAGCATTCTCTGCCACTGGGAACACTCACCTCTTCACTGTTTGTCTAGTTCAGGACTGGAAACCACGTTAGTAGTACTTTACATTATCTAACCTGTAAAAGCACTGTTTCACTATGTTTCACAACAAGATACAGGACAGGGGGTGGTGGGGTGGCAGGTTTGATCCATGAAAGATTATCTTGTACTTTTTGGTGCCAGCCCTGTATCCTGCTGGTTAAAGGAGCTAGATCCCAAATGGCCAGCCAGGTTTTCAGCCTCTTGGCTTGATGAAAACACCGGGCAAGTATTCGTGCATGCTCAAAATCCCAACAGGATAGAGAAGTGAACAGAAGAGAGAAATGGCAGCATGCCTACCTACCTACACTGGAGAGTGTTTTCTTCCCCCCTCTCCCCCAACAAGTACATACGCCTCTGACAATTAAGAAAATAATATTAGTTGTACTTTAATAAAAAGCTTGGGCCAGCTTGTGCTCGATCACACATGCCCAACTGTGTGGTTCAAGTCGTGGACCTGGCAGCTTGATAAACAGCGAGTGCATGTGCATGTGTGCCCAAAGTCCTGGGAGGAGGAGCGAGGAGAGCAGACTAATGTGAACATTCCCTTCGGAGGGTGCTTCTTCACTTTCCCTCTCTCTCTGTCCCTCCCTTTTTTTTCTGGCAAACATACGTACCCTGTAGCAAATTAAAAACAAGCAAACAAGCAAAAATACAGTAATAAGAGCCTTCGGTGGTTTTTTAAAGCACCCCAAAGAAAGCCTGGTTATGTCACAATCCTTTTTCTTCCATGTCTCCATCCTGTCTTATGCAAACATCCCTTGTGATTTTTTTTTCAAACCAACAGGGCCGAAACGCAAACCCTGGCAGCTGTGTGGGAGCTCGTGTCCTCTGTGCAGTGCTTAACCACTGTGCTGTGGACTGAGCCCCGGTAATTTATGATATATTATTTGTTGTTATTAGAGCAATAGTATAAGAAATCAAACATTCCGCAGACAGCTGGAGCACCCTTCCCCTCAGAGCTGCACTGTCCTAAACGGAGTATTAAGCATTTATGTGTATGTAGGTGTAAACGACCTCGGTTTCTATCCCTAAGCAGCATGTATTAAGTTGTCTGGAAAGTCATGAGGTATTTCGTTATGCAAAAATGTGTAATGACGTTCCTGACAACCCAATATTATTTTGCATGTTTTGAGCTTTATTTAAGGGCATTAAATGGTACTGTACATGTTCCATAGCTTTTTTCCACTCAGCATTGTTTCAAAGGTTAGCCATATCAACATATAATAACTTTTTTTAGTTACTGTGTTTATTTTTATTTATTTTAATTTGACCAGAGAGGGACAGAGTGAGAGAGAGAGAAAGGGAAAGTAAACCACCAGGTCTGGGACTCGAACAGCAATTGACCATGTGGGACTTAACCACCACACTACCTGCCAACCCCTCAACATATATAACTTTCAACTCATTGATTCTTACTGCTCTATCGTATTTCATTACATTATAACCGCACAGTTTATTTGCTTATCCTTTCTGCAGCCGTGCCTGCTGTGAGTGTTCCCAGTAGGTGGTCTCTGTGTGTGAGAGACAGTCTCTATCCAGACCTAGATTTACCTGCGTGTAGGCTCCATGTGTGCATCTTTGGCGCTACTTGATACAGCAAAAATCTTTTTCAGGGTGGTTTTTCCTCCATCAGCTCTCCAATCATGCTTTTTTTTTTTTTTTTAATAGCAATGACGTGTTCTTTTTTTAATCTTTGTTTCTTCTTTTGTTCTGTGGAGGTGCCCCAAATCCGGCGGTGATAAGAGCAGAGCCCCAACACTGTGCCTTGTATGTGGAACTCTGCTGTGCTCCCAGAGCTACTGCTGCCAGACCGAACTGGAGGGGGAGGACGTGGGAGCCTGTACCGCCCACACCTACTCCTGCGGCTCCGGGGTGGGCATCTTCCTGAGGTGAGACCTGCGGAGCTAGGGGTCTGCTCGTGTGCCCGCGGGGAAGATGGTGCAGGAGCTACTGCACTGCAGGTTTTGAGGCCACTCCTGTGTCGTATTTGTCAGAGGAACACGAGGATCCTCTCTCACATCTCGTATTTGGTTCATGCCAGTTGTGTGTCGATTCTCCTGCCGTCATCATTTCTGCTCTTCCTCTCTGCGCCCGAGGTGACAGCTGTGCTGTTTTCCCCTAGTGTGGTACATAAGACATACCATGGAGCTGGTGAGCCCTGGGCCAGCTCTGCCGGAAATGGAAACCATTTTAGGGTTTGAAGCGAGGCGTGACATGAGTTTCAGATGTCCCTGGTTTTCTACCCAAATCCGTCAGAATCTCCGATGGTCCTCGTGGCTGCAGATATTGCCTGCAGTCACGCGTGCTGCAAGCTAGCATGCGTCACGTGTTTAGAGACTGCTGTGCACTGGGCATGGAGAATGCGATAGGCGACAGTGCAACCAGAATCCCACCCTAGCCCAACTGCCGTAGCACAGCCTGGACACTGCCGCTCCTCAGGCGGAAGTCACGTGGGACGCAGGTTTGATGCGCAGACCACCCTGAAGGAAAAAACCCAAATGCCAAGTAGTGACACACACCCACTTGGGAGGCCAAGACAAGAGGGTCACAACAGTGAGAAACACTGTCTAAAACACCCCCATAAACACACACACACACACACACACACACAGAAAACAGCTCACGTAGGGCCCTTTGTAATGAGACATACTTATGAGTAAAGACCCCAGGAAGGGCGAGAAGATTATAGGCTAGGAGCAGCCAGCAGAGCTCTTGGGGCTAGAATGTGCCGACCATGTTCAAGGCGAGGAGGCAGCTCTGGTGAGCTGGAACCCATTTTAGTGTTTGAGGCAGACATGACATGAGTTTGGACTCTTCCGGGGCACAGGTTATATAAGTATCTTAGTCAATTTGGAATCCTCCCAGTGCCTTAGCAGATTCTCAATAAATGCTTGTTGAATTAAACTGAATGATTAATAACCACAGCCTGTCAGGCAGCTCTCTCAAAGGGATCAGGAGATGCCGTTAATGGAATCGTCACTGAGAGAGATGTAAAAGGAGCGTCTGCCCTCGTCTGGCACATCTCCCAGTTCTTGTAGTCGCGCGCAGAGTGCGTTGCCTTGTGTTGACCTAATTTCTAATGTTTGTGCACAGTTTGGGTTTTTTTTAAAGAATTATTTATTTAACTTTATTTATTTATTTTAATTTGACCAGAGAAGGACCCAGAGAAAGAGAGAGAAAGCCACAAGGTCCGGGACTCGAACCGTGGTTAGCCATGTGGGAGTCCAGCACCCTTAACCACCATGCCACCTGCTGGCCCCTGTGCATGGTTATTTTTTAAATAAATATTTTCTTCATGATAGTGGTTAAGATGTCAGTGCCTATTTTATGTTTAAAAGTCAGAATCTTTCTCATACTTAGCTGTTTTTTAAAAGCTACTGTGAATTTGAGCTGATTCCTAATCCTAGGCGCCCTCCCCCCCAACTATATTGATTTGTAATGCATGTGTTATTGATTATAGTCATTTTAGTTTGAAAAACTGGGCAAATGGATTGGTATTTTTTTATGTATCTCTGCTATAAATGCTATTTCCTTTTTCAGCACTCAGCTTATTTTTATGAAACTTGATTTCATTTGGAGCTGAATGCGCACCTTGGTTACTATGTATAGTAATGTCTGAATGATCTCTCTACAGAGTGCGGGAATGTCAGGTGCTGTTTTTAGCCGGCAAAACCAAAGGCTGCTTTTATTCTCCTCCTTACCTTGATGACTATGGGGAGACTGACCAGGGACTCAGGTAAGGGCCCACCCTGAGACCTGGGCGAGCCGACTTCGGGCCTCCAGAGCCCTTCGGTGTGCGGTGAGCATGAGGAGCCGTGTGCTCCCGAAGTCAGCCCCACTCACACCCCGGGGCCGAGCTAGTGCCGGCAGAGGTGGCTCTCAGGAGGGCACCCAGATCTTGGTGTGGTGGTCTCTTGCCCTCAGACTGCCATGAGGATATCAGGATAGATAGGGGAGAAGAATCGGACAGAGTGCAGCTTGACTCTTTTTCACTCCAAAGAACTGTCTGCCTTGCCTGTAGCATCCACAGCATCAGAGCACTACAGGGAAGGCCTGCTCTGACTTGTGTAGCCTAGGAGAGGAGAGACTGGTGTTTTCCGAGTGATGTAACTTCTTGAGAGAGAGTGAAAAGCACAACAGAATCTCACACCATGATCCCCCGACAGGCAGCCCAGCCAGCCAGGATCACAGGCACACACATCACACACGGTGTACAGGTCAGTCTGGGAACTGAACCCCAGTCCTCTGTGTGGTCTCCAGCTTACAGAGTGTTGCACCACGGTCGTGCCATCACAGCTGGGCCAAAGAGCAATCTTACTTGCTGAGAGAGGTGCTTGTCTTAGCGCACCAGAGTCTGGAAGACACGGAGAACAACGGAACCCTTTCCGAGCCTCAGTCCTTTCTGCTCGGGTAGCCTGTAGTATCTTGTGAATGAAAGGCTAACACTTTGTTCAGGCACTTCTAAAGAGCTTCTTTTAGCCCATCTCTCTTGCCTAAAGGAAGTAAAAGATACTTGGTTTCTTGTTTAGGTTTTTGCCGTAGGGCACATGCACAAGCTGGAGAGAGACAGTGTGAGGAAAAGTAAGAAATCACCCCCCAGGAAGATGGCCACACCGCAATACCTTCTCCATTGTCTTCCTGCGGTTTAGGGCACATATGCACATGCATCCAGCCTGATTTTCAAGCTGCCAGATCTGGGACTCGAACCACAGTTGGCCATGTAGGATCCAGCACCTTAAGCACCACACCACCTGCTGGCCCCAGAAGTAAAAGTGTTAATGTAGATATTAATGGTCCAGGCTTAAGTAGCAGAAGTTGAAGACCTGGAACCCAGCCAAAATAGAGGAGCTGCCCCCAGCACTGGGCTGCAAGGTTATGCCCATGTGCCACCTGGCAATAGTTCCCCCAGACCCTGAGTGTGGGCTCTGAGGAGTGGAACCCCTAATTAGACTGAGACAAATGGTGCGTGCGCTCTGAATTAGGGACGGAGGTGTCAGGCCAGAACCTACCAAAGCCTCTACTTGTAGTTAAGTTAGACATACGAGGTCATTCAGAAATCATGACATGTTTTTCTTTCTTTTTTTTAAGAATTATTTTATTTAACTTATAAATAAATAAATAAAACTAGCTAACGAACTAACTAACTTGACCAGAGAGGGACAGACAGTGAGAGAGAGAAAGTAAGAAAGCAAGCCTCCAGGCCCAGGACTCGAACCATGGTCAACCATGTGGGAGCCCAGCACTCTTAACCACCACGCCGCCTGCCAGCCCCCATGATGTGTTTTTCTATGCAAAAATCACATCATGACTTTCCCAACAACCCAATAGAATTCTTCACACTGTTTATTGCGCTAGAGTTTGGGGCTGAAAGACCGCAGTCTGAGGGATGTTTTTACTCCAGTACTTCTCCTTTTAATCTCCCCTCTGCCTTCTCCCCCTTTTTGCATGTCATTGGCAAAATGGACAGTGAACGTGTAGTAAGAGCCTCTCGGCCCGGGCCCTTCTGGCCCCCCATTTCCTCACCTCACTCGGGGTCGGTGTAGCTTGTGTATGTTTTCCTTCTCTTTTCAGCACACACTTACCCCCATTCAGGTTCTCCTGCAAACTTCAGAGCTAGTGTGTGTGTTGATAGCCACTGTCCGCTGCTGGACAGAAGTTGTGCAGAGCGAGTGAAACCAATAACCGGGACCGTCGGTAAACCCGGAAGGGGTGAGGTGTAGTGTACGGACAGACACAGCGTATCCTAAGTGACGTGTGTCTTCTCTCCAGGCGGGGAAACCCTTTACATTTGTGCAAAGAGCGATTCAAGAAGATCCAGAAGCTCTGGCACCAGCACAGCATCACGGAGGAAATCGGGCACGCGCAGGAGGCCAACCAGACGCTGGTGGGCATCGACTGGCAGCATTTGTGACTTCACCAAAGCAGACGCGGGGTGTGGCCCAGCGGCTTTTCAGGAACAAGGATAGGAAATGCGTTCTGCTGGTTTAGAAATAAATTCTTTATTTAAGCTTTCCTTCCCAGTTTTATTTGTATAGTCTCTGGCTCCAGGAGCTGATGAAGCCGTCTCCCCTCAGCAGACTTCCTTGCACCATTTCCTGTGTCCCTCAAAGGTAACGTCTTGGGCTTTCGGATCCAGCAAGGAGCCTCTCTTCCTGTAACGGAGCACAGCCCTTGGTGGGAGTCTCACTGCCTTGGCCTGTGGCGGTTTCCGGTCATCTGAGCCATTTTGCATCACTGATTGTAGTGAGCCCCTGTCTGAAGCTGCTGCAGTCAGGAAACGACGTCTCCATTGGTCTTCTGGTCCTTGCTCCTGGTGCTCTCGGTGCCTCCGCACTGGGACTGGGTGGTGTCCCCCACTGGGGGGCCCTACCCCTTCAAGCAGAGCAGATGCTTCTGAAGGCGGCATTCCCTTCTCCCCTCAACTAAGGGGCGCTTGGGGGACACTCGTGCAGATGGAGCCTCTGGGGAGAAGGCAGTCTCCTAGTGTGCTGGCCAGTTTTTCAGGGCTATAAAGGTTGACTTTTTGGGTGTTTTTTTTTTTTTTTCGGCTTTGAGAGATAAAACTCACTTAAGGGCTTTTTGAAAACTTAATACCTATTTTTTCAGACAGTCATCTCTGTTATTTTTAAATTGAAAGAATATATGCATTAGAATCAAACCTTGGCAAAAAAAAAGAGAGAGAGAGAGAGAGAGAGAACTTGGTATTTTGCGGTTCCCCACCCCCACCCTGTCCAGCATTTCTTGAAATAGATGGATTGCTACTCACCTGCCGGCTCACCTGGTCCTGGGCGGTCTGCACCCAGGCGTGTTTTTAAACATTATTGTTCTTACTCAGAGGTGGCTTTGTAGAATGATAGCCGCTTAGTACGATGGCCTGTAACTACTACGTACCACACATACACTCCCTCCGAGCACGCGTGCTTGAGCACCGGACAGTGACAGCAGTGGAGTGGAGGGGCTGAGCAACGGATGAATACTGAGGCTCTTGAAGGTTTTTAATCAGTGTAGGCGACCCTCGTACTTAGTTTCTTTCAATTGCACCTGTGAGTTCCTTTCCACTCCCCTGTGCACACTGCACAGTGCACCCAGGGAGACAGTTACAAGTCCAGACCAAGGCTGGAGTACGTAGGGACACAGAAGCCGCGTACCTCTCCAAGGCAGCATGTGAAGGAACCTTCCATGAAACCCTCTTGGGACTGGCTCACCTTGCTGAGAAGACAACCAGCAGGAAGAAAATCCAGCTTCAACCCCACCTCTCCCCATTTCCTGGCCTTCCTCTCATTCATAAGATCTGATTCGGAGGCTGTGAGTGGCATAGTTAATGTTAATTTTTGGCCTTTGTCACATTAGCTTTTAAGTTCAGCTCCCTTTGGCTTTCCTCTCTATATTATCAAAGCTTACATTTAAAATTGTAAGACCAGGTTCACCCTCTGTAAGTGGGTCACAAACATTTTCCTCAAATCATAACAGTACTCCAGCTCTCAGGCCCAGAAGCCTGGAGGTAGCAGAGGGTGGCCCTGGATTACATTCTCTGAGAATGCCCAAGTCTGGGAGAAGATGAATTTACATGAAATAGTAACATACACACCTTTTTATTTCCTGGTATTAAGCTCTCGTCTTCCCTATCTAACAGATCATCTTAGTTTTATGATTTATTCCGCATGGTTTATGTTTATTGTAGAAATGTTTATATAACATATGCTTTCCATATCAGGGAAAATCACATCTGTTTAATAAATTGGCTATAACTTTAATATCTGTGGACAACTTGTAAAATTTGGAATGTATCATATGTAAAAAGTTTAAAGATATCCAAATAAATGCTTTAGGTGTTGACATTGCTTTGGCCTACATCTTTTTTTCTTTCACATTCTTCGATGCCATGGCAGTGTTCCCATGTCACCTTGCTACAGGTAAAGTGGGACGTCTGTATTAGCTTGAAATTGAAGAGGCTTATATTATTACTGTCAGTTACGGCCTTTAACAAGCCATCGTGACCTTCCCATAGAACGCCTGATCATCATTTCAGGCGATTAAGTTTCGTATTCATTGGCTGTGAGAGCTTATGACCTCAGGACCATTTTGGACCTCATACCACTGGGAAACAGGATATTCTAAGACCTGTCTCCACATTTAAATCATTTTTTTAAGAGTTTTTTGTTTTGTTTTGTTTGTTTTTGTTTTTGTTTTTGCCAGAAGGAGAGACAGGGCCTTAGGGCATGTGCCCTGGCCAGAGAGACAGAGACAGTGAGGGAAAGCGAGAGATCACTCCCCAGAGGGATGGCTAAGCCTCCATCCCTTCTCCGTTCTCCTCCCGGGTTTTTGGGCACACGTGCACAAGCACCCACTGTGGTTTTCCCAGCCTCCAGGTCCAGGACCCAAACCATAGTCAGCCATGTAGGAGTCCAGCCAACATATCCGCTACATCGTCTGCTGGCCCTGGTTTAATTTTCTTTTCCTTTTTTTCCTTTCTTTTTTAAGTTTCTTTTGGGATCAGTCTTGTAGCCCAGTAATTAAGGAAGCTGGATCCCAAATGGCCGACCACAGTCTGACTCCAGGGCCTGGTGACTTAAAAGACGTACCAGGTGCTTACTTGGGCATACCCCAAATCCTGACACGAGGGAGAATCGGGATTGTGGTGTGACTACCCCCACGGGAGGGCGCTTTCTCCTTCAGTGCGCTCGCTCGCACGCGCTCCCTCCCTCCCTCTCTCTCTCTCTCTCTCTCTCTCTCTCTCTCTCTCTCTCTGCCCCCCCTCTCTAAATATATTTTTTTTTTTTTTTTTCTTACCAGGTGCTTACTTGGGCATACCCCAAATCCTGACACGAGGGAGAATCGGGATTGTGGTGTGACTACCCCCACGGGAGGGCGCTTTCTCCTTCAGTGCGCTCGCTCGCACGCGCTCCCTCCCTCCCTCTCTCTCTCTCTCTCTCTCTCTCTCTCTCTCTTTCTCTCTGCCAACCTTCTGGAAATATATTTTTTTTTTAAGTTTACTCCTTTCATGAGAGCAAGAGAGAGGCATCCTTGACAGGGTCTGTCACACCATGATGCTTCCCTCAGCCCTCCAGCCAGCTGGAATGTTGGGCTGTTTACATGTCTCGCATATTTGACGGCAGCTCTGGACTTAGACCCTCGGTAGCCATGTGGCCTCCAGCACCCCAGGGCAGCCCAGTACTGACGAAGCCACCCAGGCTTACACTTCCTGCTCGTCCGTCCTGCTTGGTCCTCATTCTTGTCCTTATGTCCTCCCCAGGGGCTGGGTTTTTGAGGGACACGTGGGAAGACAGCTATGCTCTTTTGTAGAGGAATCGTTGCCCGTGAAAGTTCTGCTGTGCTTTTCAAAATCCTCTACAAAAGGACCGTTAAAGTCGCAAGGTTTCTGTGGTGCCTTTCCGTCTCCTGGTGGCGAATGCTGCTTCTACGACACTGTACTCCCTTCCCCGTCTCATCTTTGGCTCCGGCACGCGTCTCGCCCCCTCTGGCAGGCTCCTCGTCTGTCCCTACTCGTTTTACCTCCTCTCACAGGACAGAAACAAGCACCCTCGGCAGGGGCCCCACACTGATCCTCCCCCAGCTGGGAAGGGTCCCACACTCGTGTGCACACTCAGCGCGTCCAGGTTGACCAAACCAACCCAGGTCTTCGGTGTGGCTGCCAGCGTGGTGGAGCTTTGTCCGCCGCAGCTGGGGCCTTTGTTTTGTTTTCCTTTTTTTAAATCAGGTTTATCGGTGATGTTTTATGAACAGTGCGATGAGTGCTTTGTAGTGTACAGTTTTATACATGTTGACAAATGCACAGTTTTAGAGCCACCACAGTCAAGAAAGGAGAGTTCATCAACCCAGAAAGTCATGCATCCAGCCCTGACCCCTGGCTCGCATGGATCTTTTCCTATTCCTTCGTTTTGCCTCTTCCCGAATGCTTTATAAATGCAAGGGTGTCATCGCAGCCTTGCGAGCCTGGGCGCTCCTGCTAAGAGTGCATTTGCAAGTCCCCATGTCAGTCCTCATGGCCGTGGTGGTTGTAGCGCTGATGTTTACGCAGCCGCCAGACGAAGGGCATTTGGTGGGTTTGGAGATGACTGTTACAGTCTCGTGTAGGTTTTCGTGTGAACCCAAACCTTCCTCGTGGGTGAACAACTAGAGTTGTCCCTTCTGTCCTAACCCCGCCTTCTGCACCATCCTCGAAGCACAGTGTTCTCTGATCTCTAACTCTGTGGTTCGTGCTCACCCTCTCAAACGACAGGATAAAACGTCCGCGGGAACTAAGGACTGATGTCTCCCTCAGCCAGTCTCGTGCATGGAGACTGGGGAGGCTTCCTCTCTTCCCTGGACTTGGTATTCCTGACACACAGTGCCGCTGGCTGGCCACACTGTCCCTGGGAGCCACCTTTGTACCCAGCAGTGGATGAGAGGTCCTTTCTTGGTCCGCCACTACCTCTGCTAAGCTGCAAACCTGCTGGCCTAGCATGACAGGGGCCCAGATGAGGAGGGGCGAGGGAGCGTGCAGAGCGAACACCTAATCTCATTAACCCATATTGAGGTTACTCGGGGTTTACTTGCTGGGAGCTCAGTCCTGGGCTTGAAGCATGTTGCAAGAGACTGTGGGTTCTTGAGCCGAAGCCACAAACTCTAGGACAAGCAGCTTCCTGAATGTTCAGAATAAGTCGCTATCGCCTGCTTCTTTGCTATGGAATGCATGTCTTATTAAAGTCCTGGGGCCAGCAGGTGGCATGGTGGTTAAGTCACTGGACTCACATGGCGAATCTAGTGGCTTGCTTTCTCTCTCTCTCTGTCTTTTCTCTCTTCTCTCTCTCTCTCTCTCTCTCTTTCTCTCTTTTCTCTCTTCTCTCTCCCTCTCTCCCTCCCTCTCTCTCATCTCCTGGATGACCACATGTGCTCTATAGCAAATTATAAAAGTAATCATATTTTTAAAGAATTTTTCTACAAACAGTCCTAAGACCATCTTTACTTCTTACTCCATCCTAAAACTAGACCCCACAGAACTTTCAAAAATGGCTGAGCCCCTTAGAGACCAGCAGTTAGCATAATGGCTATGTCGCTGGACTCCCACGTGGTCGTCTGCGGTTCCCGTCTTGGACCCGGTGGCTTAAAACTCACGCCAGGAGCGTGTGCGTACGTACCCAAGATCCCGAGAGGAGAATGAAGAAGGGATTGTGGTGTGGCCATCCCCCCGGTGGCGGTGATTTCTCGCTTTCTGTCTCTCTGTCTGTGGCTGGCTGGCCAGCGCCTGCGCCCTATAGCAAAAAAAAAAAAAAAAACTCTCCCCCCCAAAAAAATGGCTGAGCCCCTTGGGAGAAATGAATTTACACTAACGCTAGGAAAGTGAAAGTTAGGTACAGGAAGAACTTGGTACCAGAGTCGTTCTGGGCACTGATACACTCCTCCCCAAAGGGGAGCCAGGCTTCTCTAGCCACTACCTGACAGCTCGTGAAGACCTGCTAACATACGGTTCGCCCTGGCCTGGCCCTGTAGCACAGTAGTTAAGCGCTGTGTATAAAGAACCAGATCCGGGAACCAGCAGTTAGCGTAATGGTTATGTCACTGGACTCCCACGTAGTCGACCGCGGTTCGCGTCCCGGACCCGGTGGCTTAAAACTCACGCCGGGCGCGTGTGCGTGCGTGCCCAAGATCCCGAGAGGAAAATGGAGGAGAAGGGATTGCAGTGTGACCATCACCCCCTTGGGGGGTGATTTCTCGCTTTCTGTCTCTATGTCTCTCTCTGTCTGTCTGGCGAGCGCACACGCCCTGTAGAAAACCTCCCCAAAAAAAAAAAAAAAAAAAAAAAGAACCAGATCCCACATGGCCAACTAGTTCAAATCCTGGCCCAAGCAGCTTGGAAAAACACACCAGGCACATGTGTATGTGTGCCCCAAGTGCTGACTGAGTGTGAGCGTGTGTGCCTGCACAGTGCTGTTACACCAGGCACATGCCCTCTGGCAACTTAAGAAAAAAACGGGACCAGCAGTTGGCATAATGGCTATGTCACTGGACTCCCATGTAGTTGATCACAGTTCGAGTCCCAGACCCTGTGGCTTAAACTCATGCTGGGTGCATGTCTGTGCATGTCCAAGATTCCGAGAAAGAGGAGAATGGAGGAGAAGGGATTGCGGCGTGGCCATCCCTCCCCCCTTGGGAGTGAATTCCCACTTTCTGCCTCTGTCTCTCTCTGTCTGGCGAGCACATGTGCCCTATAGCAAAAACCTCTCAAAAAAAAAGAAAAGAAGCAAGGCTTTCTGGAGGTTAAGGCAGCTAGCTGGGTCCCACATGGCCACACTGGGCACAGCGTGTGCATGCCCAAGGTCGTGACAGGATGGAGACAATGGAGTGGAAGGGATTGCGGCATGACCATGCCTCACGGGGGGATGCTTTCTCCCTTTTCCCTCTTTCTCGTCACACCCTCTGGTGGAAAAAAAAAGTACCAAATAGTTCTGAGTCTGCTCTAAACCGATTGGTGAGATTTACTGTGAGGCCAGTTCACCCTCAGGTAGATTCGGAGTCTCAGGTTGCTGAGCTCTGCGCTATAACGAGACCCCAGCAACACCCAGGTTTCCATGTTTGGGGGACTATGTTTTGGCCAGAGTAGAAGAGGGGAAAAAATGGTTTGACGTTTTGCCTAAGCTCCTAAATCGCAATCTCACGTGTAAGTTTAGCTCCGATTCCACTCTACCAAATGCCGAGAGGATTTAGACAACCTCAGGTAGGAGATGGCACGATGGAGAGCTACCCGTGCTGATAACCGTGACTCTCAATGGTTCCCTTTAGGATCGGCGTCTCTTTCTTTTCCCTAGTCAGAGTGTGCGTGCTCCCCAGTGCGACAG